AGCCGGTGGAAACGTTTTGCAAGGGGACGAGGTGTCATTCGGTCCCGTAACGGCGTCCTCCGTGGGCAGGCGTGGGGCTGGCGACCTCTTTAAGCTGGTGGCTGGGAAGGTGCTGGAAGAAAACCCCTCTGAGCGCTGTGCGTGGGGCTGTCGCCTCCCTGGGTGCCGGGTGTCGGTGCTCCAGGGGTGCTGGGCGAAGCTGGAGGCCGTGCGTGGAGGAGGAAGAGGTTTGAGTTACGCTTCGGCATCTGACAAAGGCATCCGGGGGGGGAAAAAAGCACTTAGTTATTCGTTCCCTTTTAGCCAGCGCACCTGATGGATAAGGGCTTGTAACAGATGCTTCCTCTGTAAGAGGAAAGCATAAGAGAGGGCTTTGTCTCACATTTATATTAACTAAAGCAAAACCCAAGAACTTCCCCACTTTTTTCTATTAACAATAAAGAGGCACCCAACCGGATGGTCCTTTGCAAAACTATTTAAATATTTGGTGAAAATCCTTAAGTCTTAATGGAAGTGGGAAACCCCTTTCCCCCGAGCGCTGTGGGGAACGCGCCGAAGGTTTGTTTGGCTTCAAGGTAGCTTTAATTACAGCTGTAAGCCTGTGCTGTCAGTGCTAATGAGTTACAGCAGGTCGGTGGTGCTGATTGTGGCTACCAGGCCTGTTCCTGCCATGGAGGGAAGCTGCTGTCGCAGAGCTCCGGGCTCACCTGCACGTCACTGCTGACTGCTGATACCGAGATAACTCTGTCTTCTGGCAGAAAAATGAAATTCAGCCATGTTTCTGCTCCCGCTTCAGGATCCTGGGAGATGCCTCATCGTCCACAGCAGCATACACTCAGGATTGTCTAACATCTTCCAATAGATAAACCCTCTCACCCCGCTGCAAGGACAGCACGTGCTCTTTCGTGTGAAGCTATTTCCTCTCACCGTCTTACAATAGCATGGGTGATACAAAAAATATCTGGTGTTCCTGTAGGAATGAGAGTTATATGGAAGAGAGGAGGAAGCGAGATTAGGTTAACGCTGACTGCTGACATACTGGGAAGGCTTTGGAAAATGGTCTCTCCGTTCGCTGGCCCCACAGCGGTTGCTGATGTAATTAAAGATCTAGACACTCAGATAGCTGTAAGTAAAGCGCTGGGGCTTGCCACGGGGCTGGCATGTGGGATTTGCCCGTTAGTTTTGTGTTTGGTGATCTTACCGGCACACAAAGCGTGCGGTAAGATCCGCAAATAAATGAACAAAATGACTTTATGCTAATAAAGTGCATTCTGCCCAAGGATTTTGATGCTTTCTCCCCTGCATGGTGGGTAAGAATTCCTGCTTTGTGGATTTGTAAACTGAGGCATGGGGTTGAGCAGCCCGAGATCAGCCTAAGCTAAAACCAAGATTAGCACACAGAAGTCCCTCCTGATCTTGTGCTCCTCGTCCAGAAATGCCATCTGAGGGTTTTAGACTGTGGATGTAATGGTTTTCCATCGATACTTAGTTACAGTTGAGCTAGGAATTTGCTGAGGGCGCTGCAGATATGTGTCTTGGATATAAATACTCCGAAAAGGGCTCTGTGTCTGTAGGTGCATGAGTGTGCCTTGGAATGAAGCACTAAAGCAGGCGCTTGTAAGTACTCCCGTGTGATTTCTGGTTTGTGTTTTGGTATGAATTAATCCAGACTAACAAAGCCTGCCCTGATGAGGGGAAAATGTCTGTTTGTAGCTCAGGTAGCAGGTGCTCTGTTCATCCCTTTGTATGCAAATGTGCTGTAAAGCTGTTTAAACAAACTCTCTTCTCTTGTCAGTCCACCCTGAAACATGCACGGGCTTTTCAGAAAAAAAGCAGCTGCTTCTCACCCGTCTCCCGGCCCAACAGCAGCAGCCGCTGCGCAAGGAGCTTTTACACCAAACTGTTCATTAAATGCTCATTTCACGCGACCAACCTGTGCCTGCTGCCCACAGCACTTGTGGGGGTGGAAGGCCCAGGGTTTGGACGAGTTTCCTTTCACAGAGCAATGATGACAGAGCAGAGCTTTGTTGAACCTGGATTTTAGAGCCCTTGAGCCATGAAGTACAGTGGTTGCCAGTCAGTCTGTGTGCTAGCTCAGTGGCCAATAACCCGAATAGCTTTAGGCACTGAAGGGTGAACCTGGAAGATTTGAGTAATCAGTTAAGCCGTCGCAACCCACTTCTGGTTCACCGGTAACAGCTCGGTAAATCTGATTTCATTTACCGCGGCTGTCGGTTGCGGGTGCGGGAAGAACAAATCGAAGGTGTGGGTGTGTGCGTGTGTTTCTCTGTCGCGTTACCCCTGAGTACCCAAACTTGTGCTCTCAGAACTGGAAACAAACCCGGTGTTGTCAAGCCCACATCGAGGGATCACTGCGGGTCAGGCTTGAAGTGTGGTGTTGCCAAAAGCGAGACCTCCACCCTGCGGCAGACACCTGAGGGAGCTTGAGCCCTGTCTTCTCCTCAGGCCCGTGGAGTGTGGAGAACGAAGACTCAAACGCTGCGCCTGCATTGCTGCCGCGGGAGCAGGCCGTGCCCTTTAGTTAAATCTTCTTTGGGTGGTCTCTTCCTCGAAGCTGTTTGTGGTCCAAGTGAAATGTGTTCAGAAAGGCCCTGGCCAGAGGGTGCGAGGTGGACACACGTGCGGGATTCAGCCTGAGGCACGAGCCAGCGGGTCAGTGCCAGGCAGAGCTGCCGCTTCTCAGCAGTGCGCTGCGTGCTGCCGCTGTGCTTCTGGGGACAAACTTCATATTCCATTTACCAGGGAATGTTTGCTCTTCTGCTAAACACTGCTCCTCCTTTCTTGCTGTGTCCAGAGACACTTGGTCTTCAAGAAACCTCTGGGCCCTGTCAGGACACTGCAGTTTACTCTGGACAAACACGTGATCGCCCCGTTGAATTCCTTCTCTCTTTGCTAACCGTGGCTTTCGTTTCCTTTTCCAGTTGATTGGTTTGGGTCCCCACAACCCCAAGAAGAAGCAGGACCTAGATAAGCTTTATGATCTAAAAGCTAAAGCCCAACAGATTATGAACCAGTTTGGCCCTTCTACCTTGATCAACCTCTCCAACTTCTCCTCGATAAAGCCAGAACCAGCCAGCACTCCCCCGCAGAGCTCCATGGCCAACAGCACCACCGTGGCAAAGATGCCAGGGACGCCCAGCGGCGGAGGACGGCTCAGTCCTGAGAGCAACCAGGTAATTTCATCCCCGACTTTAGGACAGCTGGGGAGATGCTCAGGCCTGCCTATGGCTTAATTCCTCTCCAACCTGAAATTACCGGCAAAATCTTAATGTCAGTGAAAGTATCAGTTACTGAGTGAGCAAACGTCTTCCTGTATTTCTTCCCTCCCAGGCACTTTCAGTCTGGATGGGGTATGGACACTGTAGGTCTAGAGGTTTTTTTCAGTCTCAGGAAAATGAATAGTGGGGGTGTGATTGGGAAATTGTTTTCAAATGTGGTTTAGATGGGAGAAATAAAAGCACAGGTTTGTAGCCTCCATCTCACTGGGGTGGTGCAAGAGGCAGCATTGCTGCCAGGAGCTGCTGACTTGGGTGTTTGCTTGCTGTGGTGTGGAGTCTTTGACGTGCGTAAAATACACTGGTGCTCAGCAAGTGCTCCAGGAATGCACCCTGATCTCTCTGAGGGCTTTTCTGGCGCCGTGACGTCTCTGGGAAGTGAGTGTCCCCCGACACAAACACAGACAGCAGTTCCGCTGTCAGTGTAGGGGAACCAGGAAGGGCAGGAATTTCCCATGTGTGCCTGGTGCATCTGACCAGGCTGACAGATCAGTGATAACTTTCATCCGTATCCTATAGGACTAAGCGTCCTGCTGTTGTTCAGCAGCAATAAAATATCTGTTCCCTGCCATGTTTGGGCTGAGAGGGTGCTGCCTCCTGCCCTAGAATAACCCAGCACTCGCATATCTCTCTGTTTTCCATTTGAAACGCTAAAGCTGATAAGCACTAGAGCCATGGAAATACTTCCTTTGTGTCCTGAGCACAGATTTAGTCACTGATATGGTGCTTGCACTTGCTGTCTGCCTCTTAAGACTTCTGGTTTTGCCTTTTTTCCTCCCTTGCCAGCAGCCTTGCTTCAGCCCCGTGGCATTTTAGTGATAGTTTAGCACAGGAGACTTATTTATCCTAGCCTGCTGCATTCCAGTTTGGTTTGGAGCAACCACTGGTGCTTGAAAACGACTCCTTAACACCTGATACTTCTTATCTCTGCCATTCCTGAACTGATACGCTTCACAACCCCGTGTGACTTGGGCCTGGGGAGCAGTGGGGGAGGAGGTCTTTTGTGGCTGTGCTGCGTGGGCAGCTGCTTTGCTGAAGTAGGGCAGTAAATCATTCCTCTTCTCCCACACGCTCAGGTTTTAACCAAGAAGAAATTGCAGGACCTGGTGCGTGAAGTGGATCCGAACGAGCAGCTGGATGAAGATGTGGAGGAAGTAAGTACTGACCCGTGGCAGGAGCTGCGGAAAGAGCTAATCTGAGAATTTTCACGGACTGGTGGCCCTTTGTCCAAGGCAGGGAGGGTCGGTTCATATAACACCGCTGTACTCTCTCGTGTTAACTGCAGCCTTCAGCCATCCGTGACTGTTTCTGCGTCCCGGTGTCCAAAAGGGTTTTAAAACAGCCATTATAGCAAACGCCTTTGACATACTAGCTTCTGCAGGTTCGTTTTCGTGCTTTCCGCATTATTTCAGCTGCCTGGTACTGATAAGACCTCTTCTTGTCCCTGTTCTGGCACAGATGCTGTTGCAGATCGCCGATGATTTCATAGAGAGCGTGGTGACGGCCGCCTGCCAGCTTGCACGGCATCGCAAGTCCAACACCCTGGAAGTGAAAGACGTCCAGTTGCATCTTGGTGAGTGATTGGGGTTGGGTTTTTTCCCCTCAGCTGAGAGCTGGGCGCACGCCCTCATGGCTGCCGTGTTGGGGTGGAAGCCCATGAGTTGCTACAGATTCGTTGCTGCTTAATAATTCCTTAATAATCAGGGGATAGATGGGGTATCTGCCCCCAACCGTCCCCTCTCCAAATTTTGCAGTTGCACCGTTTGTAGCTGTCCATCAGCCTGTGCTGGAAGGTCCCTAGCACAGGGACTGCGTCCTTACCATGTTCAATGCTGTGCAGCCCTCTGCTACTCTGCTTTTGTGAAGCTTTTACAGCTGGTATGCGGATCACCAGCTTGTCTCTAGCACCGGCTCCGGGTGGGCCTGCTGCCAATATGTTTGTGATGACGAGGCCGCTCGTGCGATGGGTGGTTGGGATAGTAGGTGCTGACCTGCGCTCTCTCTTCCAGAGCGTCAGTGGAACATGTGGATCCCGGGCTTTGGTTCTGAAGAAATCAGGCCCTACAAAAAAGCCTGCACTACAGAAGCTCACAAACAGGTAAGGAGCCCTTGGTAACGCTGAGAATCGCTTGGTAGGAGCCTGATATGGGGGATGGTGGTCTTGGACTCCTGGCACGATGGGAATCCATAGCCTCTTCTAAGTGCTTTGGGCTTGAAATAATTTCCAGAGTCTCCTCACCTGTTTGCGCAGAGGCTTGAGTTTGCTCTGGCCCCTCTGCAGTGGTGAGGCGCTGGCTGTGCCCTAAGAGAAGCAGCAGCACTCGCCGTCTGCAGGGCCGCCCAGCTTGGCAGGGTTAAAAACCAGCTGAGAGCTGCAGACGGTGACTTGTCAGCTGCCCCCTTGCAGATCACGTGCTCCGTCTTTGCGCAGAAGGGACTGAAAACACGCTGCTGACTCCTCTGGTTCAGAGGGAAATCCATAGCCAGGCACAGGGGGCTAAATGCTGGCGTAGCCCCTTGAGCCGCCCCGGGAGTCTGAATGTTCCAGGGGAATCACAGGGCTCTTAGGCTGTGGCTCAAGTTCCTGGGACCATTTTGTCTCTGCAACCCAACGCTGCGCTCGGGAGTTTTGTGAGCAGTGTACAGCACTTCCCATGTCTGTGCAAGGGTTGGGACTCTGGGCTGCTCGCCACCATAAGAATTTAAACAGCTGTGGAAAGCCTGAAGGCCTCGTGAGGTGTAGCAGAGAGCATGCTGTCCTGGGGTTTCAGCTGTAGATTGGAGCTGAGCAGCTTGGGGAGGGGGTGGTGGGGGGGTGTTCCCCCTTAATTTTGCTTTAACTGAATTTTAAGTGTACGGTGAGAGCCAGGGAAGGAGCTGCCGCGCAGGAGCTGTTGGAGTTTGTGGATGATATCGCATCTCCCTTCCCAAAGCTCCTGCAGAGCAGAGAGAGAGGCGGCTTTGAAGTGGGGTGTGATCCCCTGCGCTGTTTCATCCCATTGCCCCTCACTGGTGTCAGTGTTTCACCTGCCAGCCCCAGGTGTCGAGGAGGGGAGTGCAGATGCTTTCTTTTCCTCTGGCTCCAGCCTGGGACAGCATTAAGATTCAAACTTAAATGTTAAGATTCAAAGGGACTTGAAAGACCTGTGTGGAAACAAGTCAGGCGGTGTCCTGGGAGAACCCGAGATACCTTCTTCCTGCACGGCTACAGGTTGTTTTGCAGTACCCTCGTCTGAGACACTCGGCTTCCCACATATTTTTTCTCTTTCTTGTTACAGAGAATGGCACTGATTCGCAAAACCACCAAGAAATAGCCCCTGGGAAGAGCCGGGAGATGACACCAGTGCATTTTGGGATATCTGCCTCTCCGTGATGCCATCCATGGGATATTTTTTTTAATGCTTTACAGAGAAGCATATATTTTTTATTAACGGTGCAGCAATATCTTGACTTTATGAGGAGATCTGCCAAAAACATTCTACGCCCCCTTCCTCATTCGCCCCAAGAGTGCAACGTATCTCAAAACAAAGACTTTTATTTGTGACTTGAAAGTGGTTCATCGTATAAGTGATTATCCAAGGGACAGAGCATTTGATCTTGCGTGGGACAGTATTAGAAGCATCTGTAGAGGTTTTTGTTTCCTCCTTCCTGCCCCTACCTGCTCCAGTACTTTGTAATGTCAGTGTTTATATAAATACTTGCGTTTGTTTTACATGAATAAAGAAATTATTAATCTAAAAGCATGGCACAGCCTTGTGCTCTTCAAACAGCGTGCAGAGGGGTTGCCGGTGAAACGGGCAGCCTCCACGCTGCCCAGTTTCTGCGTGTGGTGCTGTTCTGGTCAGAGATTTCCTGCTCCACGGTTTAAAGTGAGTGGAAGGATTTGGCTGGCCTCTGCCACGCTGATGGGGCTCGGCAGGCGGCCCCCCCACTTTATGCCCAGCCCAGGGTGAGTAGTTTGCCCATTGCTTGGCTGTTTGGGCCATTAGGATTGGGATGCAGTGACTGAGGATGAGAAATTGAGGTGATCCTGGTTCTTTCCTTGCCTGGGATGTAACAGTGTGGCCAGCAGGAGCAGGGCAGTGACCGTGCCCCTGTCCTGGGCACTGGGGGGGCCGCCCCTCGAATGCTGGGGTCAGGGTTGAGCCCCTCACTCCCAGAAGGACCTGGAGGGGCTGGAGCGTGTCCAGGGAAGGGCACCGGAGCTGGGGAGGGGTCTGGAGCCCCAGGCTGCTGGGG